CATCAAAAATCGAGTATCGAGTAGAGAGATATGCCCCGAACAAGTTCGGCGGCAACTAGGGTCAGAAACTCTGAAACTGGAGAAAAACGATCAGAACGGAATTCTAAGAGTACACGACTCAACAAAATGTGAAAATGAATCCTGTACGAGGATCCAGGCTCCAGATGAAATATTTTTGCAATAACTTTCGTTAATTGCACAATGACCCCTCCAAAAAGGGTTAACTGCACTAATGCCCCAAAATGAAAATATCTTCTAAAAATATTTTCTTAGATACCCCTGAAATAAAATATCTTCAAAAGATATTTATGAAAAATACCCCAAGAAATGAAAAAGATTCTGAAGAATTATGCATCCATGCCCCAATGGACACCGGGAGCAACCAGAGTACTTTCTCGCAAAAGTAAGGATACGTATTTCAAGAAAACCACTGAAAATGAAGGTACGTGAAGTCAAAAACTAACTCCGAGCACGAAAAGTGAGGTTTTGCCAAACAAGTGACAAGCGGAGATAAGACAAAATAGGGAAAAGGACAAAATAAAGCATAGTGTCTGAAAAGTAAAAATGCAGAAATGACTCGGTCCTTAAAGGAAGTTGTCAATCCACAAAAAGAGTCTCAGAAATCATTTCTAAGCACTCGAGACGACACTAAGCGACAAGAAACAGAGTTTAGAAAGGAAAATTAAACGAAAAAAATTCATTCGTAAAATTTCAGGAAAAAGGAAAGGGAGGTAAATGACCGGGTCGTTACAACTTCTCAACTATCATTACTACTTAAAAGTGAGTTCTTAACTATCATTACTAGCTTAGATTAATTACACTCTTCTCATATCTCACTATTAGGTTATGATGAACACCCACTTTTCAGCTATTACCGCTAGCTTGAAGTTAAGTTTGTTTAGCTATCAATTCTAGTAGTTTATAGCTTTAGTACACACTTATCTAAGTAGTCTACCTTAGTAGTAGAGTAATTTATTTTGAAGAATATTCTTCAAAAATTACTACTTTACAAGTAGTATTATTCCCTCCTACATGAGCAGATATGATGTATAGCTCAAATAGCTTATGGCTAAAATAGCTACTCATCACCCTCATGTGTTTTTACTACCAAGTTGAGAGGTAGAACCAACTAACAGATTTTCATCTTCCTCTTAAGTTATGTGCACCTCATTAATCATTTTAGCTTATAGCTAAGATAACTAGTTTGCAACTCAGTAACATTTTAGCTTTTAACTAAATTGTACTCCCTCTGTCCCAAAATAAGTGTCATGCTTTCCTTTTTTGTTTGTCCCAAAATAAGTGTCCACTTTCCTTTTTCAAATAATATATTTCACATCATTCCAAAAATGTCCTTTGAGTTTAAATTTCAAACTTCAATATTCAAAACTTAAAAGGGCAACTTAGTAATTTTTCAGGCAGACAATACATGGTCCCACATGTCCCCTTAAAAATTATTACTCCCCATAAGTGACACTTATATTGGGACGGAGAGAGTACATTATAGCTAACTAACTTGATTTAGCTTGTCTCGGTGTATTTGCTTAGTGAATCCATAACATTTCCCATTAAACTCTTTTAGAGTTATTAGAAAATCTTCTCTTATTCAGCACATTCACAGCTATATGTGTCTTAAACACTAATATAGATCTTTTTCCCTCGACTATCGAAAAAATTGACATGGTTGGACTAGTCAATTTTTGTTTGTTGTATTACATACACAAACCAGTCATGAACCCATACAAATTTAATAATATCACATATTAAATAAACTATATTGTAAAATTGAATTACAATGCACACTAAGTAATTCAACTACATAGTTCAATATTATAGTAAACATTTATAAAAACAATATTGAACTTGTATAAATAAATATAGTTTAATATTATATCACATGATTAATTATATCACATAATTAATTTAAGAAATAGTAATAATCAAGAGAAGAATTTGCTTCCTTAAAACTTTGTGGCTCATTCTCCAATAAACATGCTAGAAAAAGATTTAGACGTTCTAACCTTCTTACTACTTCTAAGCTCATCTTTATTTTCATTGTATGATTTATGAACAAAAAAATGATATGCAATACTGTTATGATCTTAACCTATCAAAGGTTTTATGTAACGATCCACTCCATCACTTGGTATGATATTATCCGCTTTGGGCCCGAGCCCGCATGATTTTATTCTTAGGTTTTATCCCAGAAGGCCTTCATACCAATTGGAGATAACGCCACCACATAAAAACACTTCACATTTCCTTTCCCTAAGTGATGTGGGACTATGCACCAGTAGCTCGCCCGGTGTGGTAGCCTATCGGTGCCTCTTGCACTCGCCCATGGCACACCCACCCACAAGATTGCCACATTTTAGGTCATACTTTAACTTTCTTAGGAGTAGGAATTGCAACCTTAGTTAGACACACTCACACTTTTAAGAATTTATAGGAAGTTTTCGACATTTTCATAATTCATGTGGTGTCACATTAGTTTAAGGTATTTTATTGAGAGCATAATTTGCGGAAAGCAAAACTTTCCCCCACTAATTCTGAGTTAAACTACAATTTATCAATGTAGCATTTATCATATCTTCATGAATGATATCATGTTTTGAACAAATATTAGCACAAGTGTTTTGATCTTTTTGCTAAGTTGATTCTCAACCTCATTTTTGTAATGTTTAAAACATTTCTAAGGTTTTAATTTGTTTCATAGCAAATATACATAACAGTATCTTATGCAGTCATTGATAAAATTAACGAAGTACTCTTTTCGATCTCTTGTTGATACAAATTTATAATATACTACATCATATTACAAAATTAAAATAATTCAATATTCTACTTATATAACATGCTTCAATTTCATATAATATTGAACACATCAATATTTAGCATATTATTATATAATAATCTATATAAAATTATTTTATTAAATTTCAATTATTAGTACAATCTCTACTTATTTATATCTTAAATAGAAGCATATAATAAAATCTACGCAAGGAACGAATCTGTCTTAAGATTGTTAGAGATATATATATGCTTCATGTGACTTTTAAGATATAACAACCCTTATACTAATATGATATGAGATAATTAACAATATACTAATAAATGATTAATTAAATATACAACTATATATTTAATTAAATATTGAAAATAAAGCAATAAATTAATAAATAGTAAATAAAGAACCTGGACCGAGGCTAATATTGAATACTATGTCCTTAACATAGATTCGCTCCGCTATGGTGCTAACGGACTCAGTGACGTCTATTTCCTAGGATACAACGGTCTACACCCACCAGTAACAGCACTACAAACTCGTGGATATGGCGAATCTTCTCCGTGTAATATTCTCTGACTCAAAAATGCATTTATACTATATAAATGCTGCATTGGGTGCAATCTGAACCAAATGGTTCGAACCAATCTTAATATGGCTCGATGAAATTGGATTAGGGTCTAAGTGGTTCGGACCACTTAACCTATTGTTTGAACTCACTTGGGTTGGGTTCAAGTCTAGAGAGGGAGATAGAAGAAAATGAAAAAATGAACAATTTGCAAATGATTCAAATGGGGTATTTATAGGCAACAAGGTGCATTTTTGGGTAGGTGCAACCTTTTAGAAAAAAAACTAAAAAGTAGTTTTTAAGCAATGTGTCTTTTCGAATTGGGTGCAACCCTTTGGAAAAAGATACAACACTTTAGAAAAAATTAACTTTTAATTTAAATTCAAAAATCAACCACCCATTTAAATAAGCCCAGCCCAAAAATAAAGGCCCAATCCCAAATCTGGCTTATTTAAATTTTAATTGGTTTTAATATTTTTTTCATGTGGGACAAACACTTCCCATATTTTGCATACCTATTTACGTTTATCAAAACACCACACTTTGGAACTAATTTCTTATTCTCCCGGAAACGAATTAAAGAAAGTAAATATACTACATTCATCTCCTTGCGGAGAGAAACGTGATCGTCTAGAGATCCGCAAAAAATTCTTAGCGGAATCTATTCCAAATCTCATTCAAAGTTTATGTTTTTAATGTCTCTGTTTCCAACAGAGTGATATTCCATCAACCTCAACAAAATAGATGGTAAAGACCATTCAATTTTGTAGTAGACAATTTTCTTCTATTTTTTTTTTTTATTTCTTCTAAAATTAGCTTTTTGTCCAAGAAAATTATAATAAAAAAAAATCAAAATTTTGTCCGTTCTCCACCGGAGCCGCCTGACTGTCCAAATTAGGGCTCTGCCCTTTCATCACGTGGTACCGGATTGTTCTATGTCCAAGACAGGCATAGTCTACAAACCCTAGACTAGAAGTGTCTTGGTCATCATTTGGGATTGGCCCTGTTGTATTTGTTGTGGTTGGGCTTGGTCTACATTTTGTGGACCGAGGACCCTCGTGGCCCTATTTGAAATCACTTTTATATTTAATCAACATTTACTTTTCGAAAAAATATATATATATATCATTAAAAATTATATAATATAGTGGTAAATGGTAGTAATTGCAATCATTAGTTTATAGACAAAATAGTAACTGACACTTAAAATCTATTGTATCCCACCCTCATTTAAAAAGCTACAAAATCAAACACCACTCATTTAACAAGCTACCAACTCAAATGAAAAATGTTATTCCAATCGTAGCCTTTGAATTGTTTGATTCCCCTTCTGCTCTGAACTGTGATCCTACACAATGGGATTACTTTCCAGACCTGAACTGTAGACAAAAAATAGTCCATAGTATCCCTCCGGCCATGAGTACTTTGCAACCTTTGAATGGTTTGATTCGTTGATATTGTGCTCCAAAAGATACTTTGCAACCTCTCCTTGGAATTGTTTGTTTCATTGATTTTGTGCTCACATAAAGTACTCAACTCCACTCTCAACAAACTCTTTAATTTTCTGGTAGAATCTGAATCTGAATTTAAAAAAGTTGTGTGCCCTCCTCGATCAGCATAGAATTAGATTGGTGATTTGGGATAATGGGAACTCCGGAAGAGGAGAGATTACTCTTGGAAGTGGGTCTTTTACAGGTTAATTTCTACCTTTTTCTCTGCTTCGATCTCTATCTATCTATATATATGCACACACACTTGTGTGTTTTGTTATTGTACTACCCATTCACGTCTATGGAAGCTAAATTGATACAGATTTACGAGTGGTAGTTATGGAAGAAGATTAAGTTTTTTTTATTGATGTCGATGCTTTAGATTATATACTTAAGATAGGAGTCAAGCGAAGACTCCGTTTTTTGCTACGGACCTTGAAATAGGGACTGGAATGTGAAGTTCTAATTCGAATTTTAGTGTTCGTTTCATTTATGAATATGCTGATCGTTCTCGTATTGGAGGCTTCTTCGTACACCTCAACTTTACAAATCAAACTCCAGAATGAATACATTGTTCTTTTACTTTAGGGGTTTCGAAATTCCAAACAAATTCTGCTCTGTGACAACATGCTCACATATAATATTAGACCCTGATTTTGAATATTCATACCATTCATTGGGTCTGTGATATGAGGTTGGGGATATTCATTTAGTACTTAGGTTGACACAATTGTCATGCTTGCCAAGATGGTTTCCTTTTCTTTTGTATGGAAAATTGAGAAATCAGACTCTGTTTTGACTTCATTTTATTGAGAATCAGTTAGTTGACTTTAGCACATTTGGTTTCTCTATTCTTTTTTTTTTTTTTAATGGGTGCATACGTTTGAAATGATAGTTTCAGAGTCAATAATTAAAAATTAGTCTATTTCATGTAATCCACTAGGACTTTCCTTCATTTGAATTGAAAATCTGAAGTCCCATAGGAGAGGACAGGAGAGGAACGAAGTTCTAAAACTAACATGAACTTTCATCTTTGATTGAAGAAGTAATGATTTAAGGTTCTAACTATATTATAGGGAATAAAGGCAGATGGAAAGAAAATCTGAAGTCCCATAGGAGAGGAGAGGAGCGAAGTTCTAAAACTAACATGAACTTTCATCTTTGATTGAATAAGCAATGATTTAAGGTTCTAACTATATTATAGGGAATAAAGGCAGACGGAAACCTAGGTCGAGACTTGAGATGAGAGTTGGCATTAAGTTCTGAAGCTCATTGTTGGAATTGGCTATCCAAAATGGTTGAGTGCAAACCTAGGAAATAAAAAATAATAATAAGAATAAATAAATAAATAAACCTATTGACCCTTGTTGTATTTTTGTGGAAACATATAATGCTATACATGACACTGTTTCCTTTAATAACATAGTTGCTTTATACTTCTGCGGCTGCTCTTTGTAAACCTCGGATTATTTAAAAAACGCACACAATCCATGCGGATAGAATTGGAGGGGAATATTTTCTTTAGCTGTGATTTTGCTCAAGGGGTTTGGAAATGGCTGTCTGTTTTCTTTTGGTGGGACTGGTCTGTTGTGGATAATTTTGATCAGCTAGTTCATTGGTTCATTGATCACTCTGTTAGAAAGGAGTTAATGAAGGTTGTATTCACAGCTACTGTTTGGCAGATTTGGTGGTGCAGAAATCAGTCATTGCATGATGGCTCTTCCTTTAATGTTGACTTGATATCCAAACAGGTGATTTGGTATGTTCTTGATATTATAGGGTTATAGATGCAAGAGCTGGTGGACATGGTTGAGGTTTGAGTTGGGGTATTTAATCTGCTACATGGATGTGGGTTTTTTATTTGGTCTGTTTGCTTTGCTATTCTGTTCTTGGAGTGGTGTTTTTGTTGTTATGATTGTTTGTAAGCTCTGCATCTTGTTGATATAAAATGATACTTAGGAAAAAAAAAAAAAAAAAGAATTGGAGGAGAATAGTTGCAAGCAAAAAAGAGTGTGATCACTTCTTAGTTCCTATGAATTGATGTAAATTCTCAGTTTTTAAAGGCTTCAAAAGTTCTTATATCTCATTGTGCTTCTATCAACGGATAGAAGAGAATGCGATTCATTAAACTATAAAGTTGTAGGTGCTGAACAAATTGCGTTGATTCGAACAATTAAATTTCTTCTCAAGCTTGGAGGAGCATATTAAGCAGATCATTTGCGTCTTTAAAACCATATTACATATCTGCCTTCTAGTTGACCAAAGGAGTTATACACACACATATACATATATATAAGTTAGATTTGGGGGATGGGGATGAGGATATAGTTTAAATTTTCATACAAGGGATTGGGGTGCATTATACTGCGGTAAGGAGTTGGGGAGAGAAACTAACAAAGATTTAGAACCAGGCAATTAACGTTTGAGGTTAATCAACTATTTTGCACCATGTATTTATTCTTGTAATTTACAAGCATGCTTTCAGTTCTAATGGACTTGAATGCCAAATGGGATTCTTTCCAAACTCTTAACTTCTTGTTACTGGTAGTTGAAGCAGCAACAACAGTAGCAAAGTAGGGTTGGACCAAAGCAGAGTGTTATGTTCACACATGTAATATCATATAAGGTTTTCAAAAGCCAATTATAGGTCAAAGAAACTGTTGAGTTGTGGCCTGAATTCTGAATGCGACGCCACGACCTGAAAAAAATTTTACCCTTTTTTTTTTTCCCTTGTCTTGGGTGAGTTTTAACCCGATTCTTAGTCTCTATTGTAACCTGGTATATATGAGGGTGCTAGGGTTTGTATTGGCAAATTTCGTTGACAAAGCAAGTCCGATCAAGTTGTAATTTTCAAGATCGAGATCGGAAGCGGAATTGATGAAGTTGTTCGTGTTCAATAGCTCAATGACTTCGAAAAGGTAAGAACAACACTTTAGGAAGTTTAGTTTGAAGTTTAGGACAATTGCATATTTTTGGAAACTTGAAATACTAAATTTTTCTAGGTTTAAACCCCTATTCAGGTATGACCAACTTGAACCGGTTCAAGTCTTTCAGCAGATTTTGGTAACTTTGTTTCCTACTCTGTTTCAAATTCCTATTTTGCATAGATTTTTTCCTTAAAACTCATGCACGAAATTGACTTGTTTTCCAAGTTCAATTAGGGTTTCTAAAGTCTATAAAAACATTTTTTTATCACTTTAGTTGATACGGCTTTTTGCATCAAAATTCATATTTTTATAAAGCTAAGTTTGTGAGATTTTTCTGAGAGCTACACTACATACACACGAGTGAATTAGGGTGTTGTTCAAATTCCTGATCGAGTTCGAGCTATTGAATATTGCATCTACAACGATCAGAGAAAGTAGATCTTTTTCCTTCTACAACAAATTCATATTTGAAGAAGAAGATTTTTTTATCACACTTTGAAGGGATCAAGGCACTTGCGGAGTATTGTTGATCTACCAGTAATCCTTCTACAAGGTTCAAGACATAAGTCTGAAGTCGAGAGCTGTTGGACTGGAAGTTGCAAAGGCAGGGGTGTTCAGCGGATTGAGTCTTGGTAGACTAAAGGGGTGTGATCTTGAGTCAAAGTTCGGTATACTTTGCTTCATACATAGTGGATCGTTTTATGTTCGGGATAGCGCAAAAATCCTCGAGGTTTTTCAATTGGTTTCCTCGCTAAAATCCGGTGTCACTCTAAACTTTACTTGCTTTTAATTTGTGTGTGATTGTCTAATCAACCGCTAAATTGGATAAAGAAACACATGATTAATCCCCCTGAAAAACTGTTTTAAAACTTGACTTTCCACAACCTATTCCGCTGCACAACTCACATTGTGTTGTTCAAATTGAACAGAAAAAAAATCCGAGAGAGAGAGAGAGGAGAATACACATTGGAGACTCTTTTTCAAATAGGGAAGAGCCACAAGCAACATCGGAAGCTACCTGAAGTCCATGAGGAGTCCCTCACTGCCCAACTCCATAAAAAGAACGAGTGGGGTCAGAAATCTAGACTTTCTTGGCTTAAACAAGGATATCAGTGCACTAAAGATTTTCACAGGAAATGCAGAGAAAGAAGGGCTATCAATTCAATCACGATGTTGCAGAATGATGAATCCCAAGTCACTATGGATCAAGAGGTGATTAGATCGTGGGTTGTTGACTTTTATTCTAAGCTATATACTGGAATTCCTACTGAAGATTTGCCTTCATGTCATCCTAAGAAGAGGATCAATGAGCTAGAGATGGAGATGCTACAAGCAGAAGTCTCGAGAGGAGGAGATCGGAAATGTATTGGGGTTAGGGTTTGAGAGTGTTCTATATTTCCTTTCTTCTTCTCATAGTGAAATCTTTTTGTCATTTTCACCCGTGGACATAGCTTATAAGCTGAACCACGTTAAATCTATGTGTTGTGCAGTTTTCATTTATGTTTTTTCTTGATTTTATTATTATTATTTTTTTGGTGCATTGTCGTGGTTTGTCACAGCAGAAACTAGCTTAATATGGAGACTGCTAAGTGCTAAAATGTTAACTTCTGTGAAATTGCCCCTGATTTAAAAATATATCAATTATATTTACTCTATTAGAATTGGTAGAGGTTTTTTCTCTGTCACTAATATGATTTAATTCTGCCAGTTTAGTATTTAAAAAAAATTGGATTCTCTGCCTTAACCTCACCTGTTTTCTGTCTCCAGAATTATGAATGCAAGGGACCGTACAGGGGAGAAGGTCCAGTAGGCATTAAGGGGAAGACTGTTTTGAACAGCAATACTGGAAATTGGAGAGCATGCCCTTTCATTCTCGGTAGTCACTAGTTTGTCATCATCTTTTACATTTCTTTCGTGTATTTGATATCCCATCTTTTTCTCTAACAGTTATGGAATCAAACAACAGGTACTGAATGTTGTGAACGTTTAGCCTTCTATGGGGTTGCCATGAATCTTGTTAGTTATCTCATAAAAAATTTACACAAAGGAAATGTCTCTGCTGCAAGAAATGTTATCACTTGGGGAGGCACTTGCACCCTTACACCCCTTATTGGAGCCTTCTTTGCAGATGCATATTGGGGACGATATTGGACAATTGCGGCCTTCTCCACAATTTACTTCATCGTATATGATCTGAAGTTTTCAGACTTTTTAATTTATTTTAATTTTATTAGTGTGTTTTTTTCATGAAGAACTGAAGATTATACGTATTCTTTATCATTCTTACTTGATCCTTCTCTCTGTTGGACATGCAGCAAATCAAAAACCAAAAAAAACGTGTGCAGTTGTATTTCACCTTACAATTTTGAGCTCAACAGTTCTTTATATTTATGTATGTATATGTGTATATATATATTGTTTTCAATTCTACCTAAAACTTCTGTTTGTGATGACCTTTGGCTTCCAATTCGTAGGGAGAGATAGAGGGAAATTGTTATGAAATAAGTAAGTTGTTAGCTTATATTACTTAATGCGTTATGTTGGAAATATGCATTATACGTATTCTTTATCATTCTTACTTGATCCTTCTCTCTGCTGGACATGCAGCTTATAATAATTGTATTTCACCTTACAATTTTGTGCTCAACAGTTCTTTACTTCTTCAATGCTACCTAAAACTTCTGTTGTGTGATGACCTTTGGCTTCCAATTCATAGAGATATAGAGGGTAATTATTATGAAATAAGTAAGTCGTTAGCTTGTATTACTTAATGTGTTGTGTTGGAAATACATATTATACGTATTCTTTATCATTTTTTACTTGATCCTTCTCTCTGTTGGAAATGCAGCATATCAAAAACCAAAAAAAGGGTGTGCAGTTTAATTTCACCTTACAATTCAATGCTACTTAACACTTTTGTTGTGTGATGACCTTTGGCTTCCAATTCATAGAGAGATAGAGGGTAATTATTATGAAATCAGTAAGTAGTTAGCTTATATTACTTAACGCATTCTGTTGGAGATATCTACTTATTAAGTGTTGAACAATAATGAGCTTACTTTTGATCCAATTTCGAGTTTTGATTCTTGCGTGAAAGATTAGAGTTTTGATTAAAAATTTGCCATTTTTGTTTCAATGTCAATCCATTTAGGATCTTTTAGTAATTCAGAAAGTCACAAATTGTGACCTCCTATATTTAAATATCAATTATATTTAAAATCATTTTGACCATTTTTAAGCATTGTAAAAACTTACAGTGGTTTGTAGCAATGTGAAAATATTTAATTCATTTCAATTTATTTAGGAAGGATTTGGTTCTAAATTTTTTTTTTCATTAGCTATGGTGCTTATAGTCATTAGTGATGAATAATTGAGCTGGATTGACCGTCCGTTGGTTTGATCATACTTAAATTTGATATTTGTTTTAAAAGGACAATAAAATCTAAACAAGAAGGTGAGGAAAATGATAGAAGAATTTTATGGTAACTCTGGCCTATTCAACTTACGCGAAAGGGTGGCTAGTCATGTTGATCGTGTTTAGTGGGAACAGTAAATAGGTCTTTGTATGTTCTGTTTGCACTGATTAAATTTGTCTAAAGCTCTCAGATTTATTCTGCTTAACCATGTATGTATATTTTTGTTGCTTCGTATGGGGAACATAATTGACTCTCTCAGCATAAGATTTTTGTTGCTTTGTATAGGGAATGTGCACATTGACTCTCTCAGCATCAGTCCCTGCTTTTAAGCCTTCTAAATGTGTGGATTTAGAATGCCCTTCTGCTACTCCTGCTCAGGATGCAATATTCTTCTTTGCGCTATACCTTATTGCACTTGGAACTGGCGGGATTAAACCATGTGTTTCATCCTTTGGGGCAGATCAGTTTGATGACACTGATCCTAAAGAGAGAGTAAATAAAGGATCCTTCTTCAATTGGTTTTATTTTTCTATCAACATTGGTGCTCTTGTATCAAGTAGTTTAATAGTGTGGATTCAAGACAATGTTGGGTGGGGCCTAGGGTTTGGCATTCCTGCATTGTGTATGGGCATTGCTATTGTAAGTTTTTTTTCAGGCACAGCTCTCTATAGATTTGAAAAACCAGGGGGAAGTCCTCTTGTAAGAATGTGTCAGGTCTTGTTTGCATCAATCCGCAAGTGGAATTTTGAGGTCCCTACTGACAGTAGTATCCTGTACGAGACACCAGACAAAATCTCAGCAATTGAAGGAAGCCGGAAGCTTGACCATACTGATGAGTTTAAGTAATCTTCTTTTATATTTCATTGAGTTCAAATGCTACCATCTATTCTTACCCATTTAATTTTAATCCATTGGATGTTTACTTTGATTATCCCAATAGCTTATTTATAAATAATTTTTCATGTTACATATTTCAGGGATCTGTTTGTCGTTCTTTACCTAGTAATTATAATCATGACCCTGTTGTAATATTTTTACATGATTATAGTTACTACTGTACTGCTAGTAATTATATTATTAGATGGACTTTTAGACTACTTATTATCAAAATATAATCGGTTCATTTTAATTGCTACATAAAGTAGAAAAGTTGATATTTTAATTTCCATCAGATGTTCAAATACCCTCCCTCCCTCTTTCTTTTTTCCCCAAATCATTCCTTTATGGTTGTGTAAGCTACTGAAAAAATGCCTTTCATTCAAAGTGTTGCTGTGTTTAATATAAGCACTTATTTTGTTAAATTTTTAAGTTCATTTTTTTATCTTCTATTATTGTGGCTATGTACTGAGTTACTAACATCATTGTTTCCTAAAGAATTAATTTCATACTTACTTAGGTGTAACTACAACATTGACTTTCCATTTAGTTTGATGCGTTTAAATATAAAATAATTTTATTAAGGTGGAGGACTTCTGTAATTTTGTGGTCAAGTGGAAAAGAAAGTTGAAGGGCTTTTTACTTTGTGGTCTTTATAGACTTCAGTTAAATGTGTATTTAGTTTTAGATTTTTTTATTATTTTATTATTTTATTTTTATTTTTATTTTTTTTGTCTTGCTCTTGTATGAATGAATTCCTTTTTGGTCCCTAACACCATACAGAAGTTCTTTGAGCTTGTAATTGTGTCTGTTTACCCTGTATAATTTTAAATAAATTTGGAATTTTAGTAGTTGTCCCCTGTATTTACGGTTTCATCTCTAATGAGAATTGTGCTGGCTATTTTGGTCCCTGTATGCTTGTATGGAAAATGCCCCCTTTTGTTTCTTCATTCTTGGCCTCATGTCTTCAATAACAACACAAATTCTGTCCAAGAAAAAATGTGCAGTTATTTTTATTTCTTCTGCAGGTGCCTTGATAAAGCTGCTGTAGTCTCGAGTGCTGAAAGCAAAACTGGGGGCTTCTGCAATCCTTGGAGGCTTTGCACTGTAACTCAGGTGGAGGAACTGAAGATTTTGATCCGCATGTTTCCTGTCTGGGCTACTGGAATTGTATTTGCTGTTGTTCAAGCCCAAATTACAATGTTTGTGGAACAAGGAATGATGATGGATAGAACTGTTGGTTCCTTCACTGTTCCTGCGGCTTCCCTTTCAACCTTTGATATCATCAGTGTTATGTTGTGGGTTCCGGTCTATGATAGGGTCCTTGTTCCAATTGCACGGAATTTTACTGGCAAAGAGAGGGGCTTCTCAGAGTTACAACGGATGGGAATCGGCCTCTTCATTTCGGTCTTGTGTTTGTCGGCTGCTGCTTTGGTGGAAATGAAACGACTGGAGCTTGCAAGAGACCTTGGTTTGGTTGATAGAGATATTGCAGTGCCACTCAGTATCTTGTGGCAAATACCCCAATATTTCTTGTTGGGGGCGTCAGAGGTATTTATGTGTGTCGGGCAGCTGGAGTTCTTCTATGAGCAATCGCCGGATGGAATGCGGAGCTTGTGTAGTGCATTGTCACTTCTGACAAGTTCCCTGGGCAGATACTTGAGCTCCTTTATTCTGACTACAGTGACATCTATAACGGCGACATCAGAAAAGGACGGGTGGATAAGTGATAACTTGAATGGGGGCCATCTTGATTATTTCTTCTGGCTTTTGGTCGGATTCAGCATATTGAACATGGTGGTGTACATCTTCTGTGCCAAAATGTATAAACAGAAGAAAGCCTCTTAAGATCATCTGCGCGGCGGCGATGGAATGATTCCACTTGGATGAGAAACTGTGGACTTATTGTCAGTGTGTGCTGGAATTCCAATATATGTTAGTAACTCAAATTAATTAAGAAAATATTGTTTGTATCATAAATGTATAGGGGAGAACATTTGTTTGCCTGTAACATTTATTAATAAACACGAAGGATATTGTTTCTGTGTTGTGTTGTAAATTTTTTAAATAATGTGAGGATTATGATGAAGAAATCATGATGCAAGCCGTTTACGTCCGTCTTTATATTCTCACACTACCATGTAGGAAGTACATATAAGTGGCCACGTAGGAAGTACACCATTTATTAGTATTTTAAAATTATTTATCATTTTATTTAATATGGACTTAACATCAATCCTTGATTCATTATTGTGGTTGTGGAAAACTAACTAGTTTCCTTGCAAGTACGAATTTTAGTTTTTGGATTCATATAAAAAACTTGATATTTTTAATGATTTGTAATGAAATTTATTTTATTTATACAACCCACCAAATTGTTTCTCTTTGGACCCTTTTTCTAAGTCTCTTAAAGACATAGGCAAGCTTTGTTACTAATTCCAACATTCTTTAACTAATTGTACGAGTTTATGGTTTCCATACACGTATATAATTTCCATTGGATACGTGGAATCTCTTATTTTATTATACAACTCATTAATTTAATTATTTTACTCTATCAACGGCTTTATTACTTCTTATCGGTATTTTTATTTATCACTGAAGATGCAAGAATTTTCTCTTTCTATTTTGATTTTGACAGAGTTTCATTACACTTCAAGAAAATTTTCTCCCCCTCTCCACTCTCTTTTCCTTCTATTTATAGGCTATTTACAGTTTCCTAGAAAATTCGTAACTAACTTCTTCCATTGGGCTCATCCTCGAGGCTTTTGCAATAATGGGCCTGGTCATCTTCAGGGACTTTCAGCTTCACTCTTCAACATTGGGCCTGCCTTATGAAAGCTTGGTTCGGGAACAGATCAATCACCAGGCCCATTCTTCATCATGTGAGTTGGATCCGGCCCATACCGCCTTTGGTATCCTCAACTGCCCCCATAATCACTCCTTCATTAATTAGGGTGTGATTATTTACTGAACTAATGATGAATTGACGGCTAATGATGACTTGACGGCTCTAGGCAATCACGTGGGGCATCGAGCGGTCGGCCTCAGAATCAATATTTTTGAAATTTAAATTTCTTTAACTTCCTGACGCCTCGGTTGATGGAACCATTTTCTCTATATATACCGTTCCTTCACACCTACAGCCTTCCTTGTCGTACCTATCATATCTCGTTATCAATCCATTCATAACCCATTCTCTGCAGGCAAATCGAATCTTCTCTAGTCAAACCAAATCTTCTCCGGCGAATCTTGTGAAAGGTTCTTCATCTTCAGTTTCCTTGCAACATCCTTTGCAGCTCTCCATTTTCTCAAGGTTAGTTTCACTTCTTTCTTCTTCTTTAAATCTTTGCATATCTCCCCAATGATTGTAGTTGTTCTCACCATGCCTATAGATTTGGATGTTCTTCGCATGAAACTCCATCTCCCTTCCAATATTCATCTTAGGGAATGCCCTAAAAATGTAAATATTAAAACTGGTGCTGGCCTTCTTCCCGGTGAAACCTTGTTTTCCCTTCACCATCTCAACATTGTTAGATTCCCTCTACACCCTTTCTTCTGTTATGTGTTTAATAGGCTAAATCTTTCTTCTCTCCAAGTTAACCCCAATTTTCTTAGGTATCTATCCATTATGCTGCTTCTAAATCATGACAAAGGCCTAGATCTTGACTTAGTTGAACTTCTCCTCTATTACAAGGTCAGCAAGATCAGGTTGGAAGACGTATATTACCACTTTTATCCTATTGAGAAGAGATCCATCTGTACGGACAAACTGAAGTCTGAGAAAGGGTAGAAGAAGGGCATTGTTGGGGTTTGGAGGGCTTGGTTCGCTCCGGCTACCAAGGACTACCCTATCCCGAACGTCTTTGGCGAATGCTCCGTATCCTTTTACAAGAAATTCAAAACCCATAAAACGGACTGCCCTTGTGAAACTTGCATCCATCGCTTCTGTTCGTTTCTTTACAATTCTTTGGGTATCCCGCAAGATAATGAACTCAGTTTCAACATTTGCAGGGATAGGTTCACTTATCTGAAGGACCACGTTCTGAATGACATCCCTTCTTGTTCAGAACTCCTCACGTCCGAGAATCTTAGAGATATTTCATTCCTCGGCACCACCATGAATCAGCTTCGGATTCCTTCCTTTAGCAGGAAGAAGGACCCTCCTAAGGCCGTTGCTGCTTCCGCAGCCACTTTTTCTCTAGCCTCGGCATCCTCTTCTGCTACTACCTCCAGCACCACTCCGAACGTGGTGGTTGTTAGTCCGATCATCACTGCTCCACCTGCCAACCCAAACGTTGTTCCTCAAGTTCGGAATACCTCTACCCCCACTACATCTGTTCAGGATAAGGAGCGAGGAAAAAGGCCTCAGCCTGATAGTGAAGGCAGCCCTGATGATGTTCCTCTATCAAGGAGGGTTCGAACTTTTGGACCGGGCATGCCTATTCCTCCTCAGATCAGACCAACTGCTCATTCTGGGTTTGGCACAGCCTCCTCTTCTCCCTCTGTAAAGGCTCATGGACCCCCCGACTCATCCGAGCGGACAACTCAGTAGTGAAGCCGAGCGAGACCATATTCAGAGAAGGCCCTACGGCCATAGTCTATTATAAGAACATGTGGTTTCCCAAAGACATTGAGGTTGCCAAATCTCTGTCACAAAAGGAGGTCTTCAGTCGCTTTCCTCTGGCTGCTATGAAGGTAATTCCCTACCCTTTTTCTGATTGCAAAAAATGTCTTCATATTACAATTTCTCTGGATATACGTTCGGCTTAATTAGTACTCATGTATTGTTTTGCAGACTTTGTTTGGCATGATGGCCATGCAAAAGCATGTCGAGGCTGCCAATGCTAAGGCAAGCAAGTTCGCCAACAGCCTTGATGCAGCCACCAAGGAGAATAATATCATTGGCACCAAGAATGCTGAATTGATGTTGCAGCTGAATGAAGCTGAAAATGAAAGGGACAGTCTGAAGAAAGAAGCAGACACCCTTCAAGATGAGAGGGACGCCCTTCAAATTGAGAAGAGCGTCTGGCAAACCGAACGCGAATCGCTTAAGGCTGAAAGAGACAACCTTTAGCGCTTACTTCATGATAAACAGGCAGAGTGCATGGCCTTTGAGAAGAGGGCTCTGGATGAGCGCAATGCCTTGCTCGGCGTCATCGGCAAGGTTAATAGCGGAGTGATGGCTCTGCATGGTCGCTTCTCCAGGATCAGATCTCTCAGGTATGCTGAGGGTACAGGGAGGGCTACAGTGACCGTCTTCCTGCCGAGGGTCAAACCAGTTCCGGCGCCAATCCAGATGATATCGACAAGGAACTGGAGATCGATCCCCCCGGAATTTATACTGATCCGGATTCCACTCCTGCCGAACGTATTTTTGATGAGTGCCAGGAGATTACTTCCTCAGGTGTTATTCCTGTTCCTTCAGCCGTTCAACCCCTGGATATTCCTCCTCTTTCCACCATGGTTCCTCCTACGCCTGTTGCTCAGGGCGGAACCCAGCTGGATGGAACGATCATCCAACTTGACTCTCCTCCCCCCGAGAGAAGAGTACAGTCAATGAAGGTGGGGGGAACGCCGAACGTGAGCAAGAGACTGAGGGTGTGAACAGGACTGAATAGTTACCTGCAAATGTATCATCTTCCTTTGTATACTCTACTCATTCCACCAGAACTATCTTTGTAAATGTTTAATGGATACGAATTTAATGGAATGGAAGATTTTTTGACTAATTCATGTCTCATATTGCTTTCTTCATCGTTCCTTCTGAGTTATCATTGTAAGTGTTTGGTGTTCGGTTAAAGTGCCTTGCGCTCGGCTGAATGCCACTTGCCCTTATTTTTAGCAAGTGCCTGGCGCTCGGCTGAATGCCACTTACCACTTGGCTCTTTTTTTTTTTTTTTTTTTAGCAAGTATTTGGCGTTCGACTCGTAGTGCCAGCTGCCACTTATTTGCTTAAGTATCTGGCGCTCGGCTAGAATGCCACTTGCCACTTGGCTCTTTATTTTTTAGCAAGTGTTTGGTGTTCGGCTTATAGTGTCAGTTGCCACTTACTTCACTAAATACCTGGCGCTTGGCTAAATGCCACTTGCCACTTGGCTCTTTATTTTTTAACAAGTGTTTGGCGTTCGGCTCATAGTGCCAGCTGCCACTTACTCCACTAAGTGTCTGGTGCTCGGTTGAATGCCACTTGCCACTTGGCTTTTTATTTTTTAGCAAGTGTTTGGCGTTCGGCTCATAGTGCCAGCTGCCACTTACTTCACTAAGTGCTTGGCGCTCGGCTGAATGCCACTTGTCACTTAGCTTTTTGTTTTTTAGCAAGTGTTTGGCGTTCGGCTTATAGTGCCAGCTACCACTTACTTTGCATAAGTGCCTAACGCTCGGCTGAATGTCACTTGCCACTTGGCTTTTTTTATTTTTTAGCAAGTGTTTGGCATTCGGCTCATAGTGCCAGCTACCACTTACTTTGCTTAAGTGTCTAGCGCTTGGCTAGAATGTCATTTGCCACTTAGCTCTTTTTTTTTTTTTTTTAGCAAGTGTTTGGCGTTCGGCTCATAGTGCCAGCTGCCACTTACTTACTTAAGTGCCTGGCGCTCGGCTAGAATGCCACTTGCCACTTGGCTCTTTTTTTTTTTTTTTTTTTTCGCAAGTGTTTGGTGTTCGACTCATAGTGCTAGCTGCCACTTACTTTGCTTACTAAGAATAGTGCTAATCAAAAAAAATATATTAACAAAACAAACTCTTTTCATGAGTCTTGAAAATTTGTACACTTGCTAATCACGCAAGTCAGAATGAACATTGCTCGGAATAAAATTCTACTTCTACTGGTAGTACCTTTTCAGAGATGTGGTATTCCATGGTTTGTTGACCAATCTTTCAGCCATGGTTTTTAAAACATATGCCCTCTTTCCTATAACTTCTGCAACTCTATACGATCCTTCCCATGGTGACACCATTTTCTTGATAATTCTAACTTTTCTTTTCAGAACCAAATCACCAGGTGCATTGTCCCTATGCCTCACCTTTCTGTTATGACTGTTCATAAGCGTCTGCTGGTATGACGCAAGCCTTATTGCTGCTGCATTTCTCTTCT